GCTGTAGCAACACGAACTTCGGCGGAGTCCTTGTAGGCACAGGATGTTCTCGGGCGGGTGCATGTCTTGGCAATGTGCACGATGTCATCTTCCTCGATAATTTCGACATCGTCAGGGAGGGGCTCTGACATCCAGCGAGCACGAGAATCATTGCCCCAGGTGTTTCTCGATCTCTTGCGAGTCACAAGGATGTCAGTTATGAGAAGGGCGTGATCAGTTCCTATGGTATGCCGACGTTCAGCATGGAAAGAGACAGGCTGGAGACGAATTTGACGAGAGAAAATCATGTCAATCTGGCGACCACTTCTTTCTTCATCTCTGGGGTAATGTGTAGGCGCATTGGCAAAGACGACCTCAGGTGCGGCAGCGACGACACCGTGCTGGAGAGAGTCGTGCACCAAGGTGGTGAGATTACTCCCAGTGTGTCCCAACTGTAGGGGTTCGTCCACCAGGTTCCATGAGGGAACTTCATTTGCATCCACACCACACAGCAGAGGGAGATGACGGTATCTGGAGGGGCATGCCTTGATGAACTCATGGACGGCAGCTTGGTAGACGTCGTTGGTGACCCCTGTATGGCCATGTAGAGACCCAATGATGACCCTCCCCATGTCAACCAGGCGAGCAACCACCCAGACACCTCTGCTCGTGGCCACTTTGTGCAAAACAGAATCCAGTTTGTCAAGGGCAATCCCTACGCCAACACCCCTCCATTGTCCAGCTGCACGGTGAGTTGTCCACTGAAATTCTTCCGTGCATACTTCACCCCAACCAGGTTCTCCACGAGCAATTTCCTGAACTGCAACGATGTCCAAGTCAGGCACAGCAACGTCAAGGAGGTCCACTTTCTGACCAGCAAGGTTCCACTGCCCGAACTTTCCCCATCTGCGTATTGCACACGGGCGGGAAAGGTCACCCCCAACAGAATCCTTAAGATGGGCAGGGGTAGGCAGCGGCGAATTCGTGTCGTGCATCTGAGTGAAACGATGCTCCTCCTGTCACAGCTCATGTTCGAACGCGGATTTCGCGTCCATAGTCGAGCAGCCAGCGATCTGGGCCACGGCCGTGATGCTCACCCATCCACCAGACAGAGTGATGCATTCTTCACCCCGGGGGGGACGGTGGGACGCGCTCCCAAGCTTGAGCGGGCCACTCCAAATAGTGCCAAGATTCCAATCACAATCGAAGGCGCTCTGCTGATCATTGACAATGGCATTCACACCAGCGGCTCCATTGGCACCAGCGTCCTTAGCGAGAGCGATGACAACACGACGGATGAGGCTGACATGGCTGCTCTTGAGCCTGGCTGTGCGGGTCTTGACGAAGCTTGCCCACATAGGTCGATCCTCGCCAGCTTGTCTCGTAGAGGGAAGGATATACTTGATCTTGGACAGTGCCTTGATGACCTCCCACATTCTGTTCCGCATGTCACCCTCGGTTTCATCACCCCTACGGCTGAACTTGAGCATACCAACTGAGCGTCGCGGTCCATACACAGCAAGTTTGTCCCCGTCAATGAGGTCCTTGATTTCAGGGAGAGCGAGGATCACAGCGGATTCTTCCTCAATGACACCCCGCCTGGTGTCTTGCAGCCATCCACCGACAACAAGTGTTCTCTTCTCCTCCTCCGAGAGCTGATCATCTTTGCTGGTGGCACTCTTGGAGTTAGCGGGCAAGTTCACCCCATCATTGGCGGGAAGAGCGGCTCGTTTTTGAAGGAAGTCGGCCCAAGGGTCAGGTTGCCCAGCTTCAGCAGGCTTGGTCCCATTGTTACGCCCCGAGTTTTCGACACGGTCGATGCGAACCTTCATGTTCTTGACTTCCGTGGCGAGGTTCTCAAGGCTGTTGGCCGCGTCTTGGGCAATTTGTCTTTGCTGAGCTGCGTCCTTCTCAACTACAACCGTTCTAGCCTGCAAGTCACCCACAGTGGATTTCACCCGTGCTTGTTCGGACTCGACTGCACCTAAGCGACCATGGAATTCACCCCACGCAGTTTTCATCTCTGCAACATGTCCAGAGAGGAGCACACGCAATTCACTCGCAGTGAGGGGCTTTTCATCTCCAACACTTGCACGTTTGCTAGGGCTATCAAGGTCCTCGTCTTCATCATCATGTTCAGGAACAGGACGAGCACGTGCAGGATTGTCATTGGCGACCCTTTTCCGCTTTTCCAGCTTCACCTTGTTGTGCTTCTTGTTCTCGGTTTCCTCCTCAGAATCACCCTCCGCCAGCTCTGTGGGTGATCCTACATCGATAGCCATCTCCTCCAGCTGGGTTGCTTCATTGTCTGCCATGACGACAAGGAAAAAGAGGAGCCAACGTCCGCAAAGGCCGGCGCGAAGTAGGCGGAGAAGGTCTGCACGACAAAGTCACACTTCACCTCAAGGACAAAGTTCACCCCGAAGTAGGCGGAGAAGGTTTGCACGACAAAGTCACACTTCACCTTGAGAACAAAGTTCACCCCGAGGGAGAAGGCCACCTCGAGTTCAGCGACGTCCACCACGGAAGGGAGAAACGAAGCCACCCAATGCCAACGACAACGCCAGAGATGCACCCAAGGGCGGACAGAAGTAGGTGATCACGCAAGCAGAGCGTCCAGTGAAGTCACCGCCGTTAAGCAGGTAGAAGAAGAAGAAGGCGACAAAGGACACCCCCAGCAATGACAAAGAGCAGGATCACGTACGGGGGCAGGAACCCGTCCGAGCCGAAGGAGGAGCCGAGGAGATTCACGAAGCAATGATTCAGCAAAGAAGGGAGGGGGCGAAGGGGCAGAACAGGAACCACTAAGACAGGACTTAGAGCCAAACAGCTTGAGCCGTAGCCATTAGGGTTTAGGGTTTAGGGCTTAGGGTTTAGGGTTTAGGGTTTAGGGTTACAGTACTCTAGGTCTTTGCAGTCCCCTTGTGCAGGAAAACCTTTCTGAGAGCTCATCTTGAAAAGTCCGTGTTAAAGCCCTAAACCCTAAACCCTAAGACCCATCATCAACTAGCTCCCTCAGCCAAACCTCGATCCAAGCTCCAGAAAACACCAAACATCCGATCCATACCGAAGAGAAACCCCCAATAAACAAAAAGCAACTTCGGCCAGACCCTACCACCCAAGAAATAGCTTGAGCGCTTGGGGGTTGAGCAATCACAATTTGATGAACCAAACAAAGCTTGAATACCCTGGCCTGGTTTTGAGTTCGGGGCCTTTCGCAAATACTAGGGTGTAGGAGCACCAGACATCGAATTTCGGGGCCATAAACTAGAAAAGGGCTTGGGGTAGAATCGAGTATAGCGAGAATATAAGGAGGTTCAAGGACTAAGGCTGTAATTCTTGCTACCTGTAATTATTCTGACTCCGATGTTACGGCATAAGGCGCCTGCAACGCCGATTCTTAGCAGCTTAGCAAAACTGAACTCACAGCGCTGCCTGACCAAGACCCTAAACCCGAAACCCAAACCAGAGACCTAAACCCTAAACCCTAAACCCTAAACCGATCGGAGGCGCT